TACTTTTACAAGTTTCAAGTATAATAATTATGACAAAAAAGTAGATATATATATATATACATATACATGCATTTGAAATAATATTATGGATTAGAATATAAATTAAAATAACTAATTAAATGTCTTTTTTTTGGCCAAATATAACACTAAGCATTTACATTGGAAATGGGTAATAGTTTGAGCTTGTAAGAGAAATGGTAAACTTATACCTTCGTTTTATTAATCTTCAATCTATACGACCTTCAAAACAATTTACCAATGGTGAATCTTTATGGATTATGTGATGCACTTTTTTAATGTACGAGTAATTTGTAATTTTAAAAAAGAGTATTTTGCACATTTACTTCCTAAACTTATTTTGCTACTTGCTTCATAAACTTCTAATTTTGATAATATAATCCCCACATTAGCAAACTTGTTGCAATGTTCCTATTTTAATTATGATTGTGTTAAATTAATGACAAAATAACACGTTTGATGAAAAAATTCTAACATTTCAATTCAAATCGTAATACAAATTTTTCAATTTCCTATCTTTAAATCTCTAAAATATTACAATAAATATGAGCAAAATTGGTAAAATAAAACACATTTCAACAGTACTTTTACATGTTAAGAGCACAAATTGCTAAGATTAAAAGCAAGTTAAAAAAAAATCCAATATCTCAATTCAGATTGTAACATAAATCTGTCAATTCCCTACTCTCAATCCCTAAAAGGTCCCTAAAATGTTAAAGCAAAAAAAATGAGCAAAATTTGTAGAACAAAACACATTGCAAACTTTTACAAGTTAAGAGGGCAAATTGTTAGGATTAAAATTTCAGGGTTGTAAAGCCAAAACGCAACAAGCAATTCAAGGGCAAATGTGTAAAATACTCTCTGAAAAATGTTAAACATGTATTTATAAGTAATAGATACCACTATATTATACTGCAATGCTCTTATAAAACAGTACTTTTTTATTTTCAGTACCAAAAAAAGTAGTACTTTATTTCTCAACTTGGGGTAAAATATATAAAAGTAATTAGAATCAATATTGACCAAGATCAACATGGGTATTCCTGAAAAAGTAAAATATAGGCATTGATCATTAACATTCTCAGTTCACTGAGCACATATTTGAACGAAAACGATGCATCAATTTTCCCTGGGAAAAAGAAAATCCCGCATAAAAAAATGGCATTAACATTCAAAAACATGTATCTGCACGCGATGATATGCATTGGTCCTATATATATACCAGCAAAAAAAAAAAAAAAAAAAAAAAAAAAAAAAAAAAAAAGAGAAAAAAGAAGATCTTATACAATGATGAAAAAGATTGTGTGCCCTAATGTCACGCATGAAGATGTGGGATTTTCAGAGATTCCCTCTTTGGGATGGTGCAATCATTCCCAGCATTTGAGGGTCGTATTCTTCTCTACTTCCTCTTTCAATTATTATTATTATTTTTTTCTTCTGTCATTTCGTTGTTTTGTTTGTTTCATTATATGATGAGACGTTGTTTTCATGGGCATGGTTAATGGTCGGTCCTATTCTCTACTGTAGACCTCAGAATGCATGTACAGTCGCAGAGAGATGTGGAATTGTCTCTTCTCCGTGGACTCACAGCCCATTTTGACTAACTTGTCTTCTTCTCATTTATAACATAACGTAACAAAAACAAAGTTAGAATCTTTTCGTGTATCGAAAATAATTCGAATCACATGATTTGAATCTTCTAACTAAACGTCATCGTGTTGTATTTATTTGGCTATTTGGTTGGGAGGGAACTTTCTCTTCATATTATGGACCCGTTTAGTTCACTGATTTAAATTTTTAATTAGAGTTAAAATATAATTTTATGTGAAAATTTTTTACTATAATAAAAAAGTTAAATGTGAACATTTTTTAAAATTTTTTACTGTAACAAAACTCGAATCAGTTAAATTAACGAGATGTGTATATATATATATATATATACACGTATGTTATAAAAAAATGGAATAACAATATGGGTTCTTTTTTGTAGTTTCAACGTGAATTTCTACGTGTATGATTTTGACATCTTTGCTTCCCTAGCCTTATTACTCCCTAGGAAGGTTGAATATGGTTTAGCTTGTGCTTTTATAATTGGTTTTAGCTTTGTATTAAAACGTGAAGAGTTTGGATTTTGTGATGTAGTGGATTTCTATTACTTTTAAGTTGTCCGTATCTGACTATTTAATCGAATCCGAATTCAATAATGAAAAACGTGAGATTGGGAGTTAGGTTTCTTCCTTTTTGTAAGTAACCCTATTTAGATCTCTTTTATGAGACTCAGAGTGCTGATTGGTGGATTCGTGTTATAATTTAAATTATAATTCGTGATTTGTTATATTATTATTTTTTTTATAAAAAATATACATAAATTAAAAATAATTTTAAATTTATGAATTAAACGTCCACTCAATGATGCCAATATTGTCATGGTATATAAATCAAACTGATCCAACTCATGGAAAGCTTTTTTGCCAAAAAAAAAGAAAAGAAAAGAAATAAAACCGATCTAACTTATGTGCACTCCTATAGGAGTTCGTAACTTTATTTATTTCTTTTATAAAGATAGATGTTTGTAGCTTGAAACGAACCTTAGACTCTCTAGGATTGAGCTTAATTTTCACCTTTTTTCAGTGTAGAAAAAGTCGGAATAAAAGCCTACATTTATTTTTAGTGAGATAAGTTTAATGTTGTTTAAAGTAAATGCTTAATACCTCCAGAAAATATCATCCTATATGTAACATTTAAAAATAGAGATATATACATTATTAATGCATATTAATCTTTTTTCAAAACTGTTACATCTTTTTAAGGCTATTGTTACCAAAAAAATGACATATTAAATTCTTCACTACTTCACATTATAATGTACATTGATCTAAGACATATACATATGTATATATATGATAATCAATAAAACTATTTTTATCATGTCACGTCATTAGATTTTTATATTTAATGATAATTACTAATGAAAATATAATTATTGAAAACTCGTTCATATACATGTAATTAGCATTATGATTTGTTGCTATCACTAACCATATAATTAATCACAAAATACAAGATAGGTAGGTAAAAAAAAAAAACTGAAATAGAAGAGTCCAACCGACGAGTGAGTTTCATGTTAATGCTGACTGTCATTGGTTAGAAAACGTAATTAATTGAACCCTTAAAGATTGGTCATATCAAGAAAGTAATCAACTCTACGTTACATGTAATAGTTAATTTTTTGTTTGTTAGTTTAGGACATGTCAATTTCCAATCAAATTGAATTGACATGTTGTATGCGTTCTCTTTTTTTTTTTTTTTGAATTAAATTGAAATTTCATCTCCACCTAAACCTATTTTATTAAGGGAGATTCTTTGATACACTTAGTGTATTAGTAGATTAGGTTTTTTTAACTGTTAGATTCACGTATTTTTTAACTTTTATGTGATTTTATACAAATTAGACGGACAAAAAACTTGAAATACCAATATGTTGGTGTATAAAAAAATATCTTTTATTAATTAGCACTCCTTGAACTTGAGTTAAAAAAAAAAACTCCCCGTTCGCTTCGCGAATTCGAGTTTTCAATTCGAGCTGAGATGTGATATTTTCTTAGAGTTTTTCATTGTAACAAAAAAAGTTAGATGTGACATTTTCTGAGAGTTTTTAACTGTAAAAATTTAAAACTAAAATCGGTAAAATGAGGCCCTAGTAGCCCTTAATCCCAGTATATATGATATTCCAGTTTGTTGTGGTGCTGCCATCATCTGAAGTGTACTTAGTAGCTGTAACCGCCGCCAAGATGCCATTTTCAATTTCACCCATCTAAGATTCCACCCTGCCGTGGATTCGACCCCATATGAAGTGAATTAACTCTAGTAATCTGTAAGGCTTAGGAGACATTTGGTAAGAAGATTGATATCATGATTTAAATTATAATTCATGATTTGTTACAGTGTTATTTCTTAAAAAAAAATACACATAAATTAAAAATAGTTATAATCTTATAATTCTAATTCATGAACCAAACGTCTCCTTAGCCACTGTGATCTACTACAAATGCAAAAATATGCAATATGATAAGAAAAGATGCAACATTCTTGTAAAAAGACGTCCAAACATGTGCAGAGTTATTTTTCCCAAAAGCATGGAAAACTCGTATAAACATAAAAAATAAAATAGAAAATTTACTCTTAAAAGTATATGAGTCTAAATTTGTATAATTTATGTTTAATAAGTGTAATTATTTAAGTAAAAAAATTATAGAGATTACTTTGAAATTTTGAGTTCCTCTTAGACTGTTATGTGTTTGGGCTTGGGCCAAGTCCAAATTTCAGTTTGCAACGAAATTACATGGACATTATTAATTAGAAGTATTTATGTCGTTTAATTAGGCTCTTTTCTAAGTAGACACTATCTAGCCATAATTGGAGACAATAACACAATCTTAAAGTACCAATGACAAAATTAATGTAGAATATAAAACATGCGTTTTTTCTTTTTCTTTTTCCCTTGACTTGGAGCATTCATTCTATGTGCCCTCCAATCTAAAGAAAAATATAAAAAAAGAAAAAAAGAAAAAAAGAAAAAAGGAGCATACACAAACAAATGCTAACAACACATGGTCGACTCAATCATAGCAATTTTTTCATCCCCATAGAGTGAAAAGGAGAGAAATTTTAATTATCAAAAAAAAAAAAAAAAAAAAGAGTTTTTTTTTTCCCTTTCGAGGATAGTAGCGCATATAATTGCAGAAAGTGAAGAGAATCTTAACAATTGTTGCCGTAGCTCGCTCCTCTCATCTCAGAACTCTCCCCCTTTTCTTTTTGCTTTTCTTTCTCATTCATATCATTCCTCCTCTCTCCCGTCTTTTTCAATTTTCCTCATTAAAATAGTTTCAATAAATAATTACCATCTTCTCTCTCTTCTCTTCTATTATTTTATAAATATTTATTTTGCTTGTTTGGCTTTCCAACCAAAAAGCCATGAAAAAGCTTCCACAAAAGCCTTCAGCTTTTATTTCTCTTGTCTGCCATTAAAATCCCATAAATACAACACTCCTCTCTCCCTTGCCTCGCCACTCTTCCCCCCTTTTCTTCACCCTTTTGCCTCCTCATTCTCCCTCTCCATTTTCCATCACTTTCCCAAGAAAAAAAGAGGAAGAAAAATGGGCTGAGACCAACAAAAAAAAAAAAGACCTCCCTCCATCAATCTCCTCCAAAACCCCATCTGGGTTCTCTTCTTCTCTTTGTCATCCGATTTCCCCACCAAAACAACAACAAAACTAAACCAAAAAAAAAAAAAAAAAACAAACAAACAAACAAAACAAAAGATGATCAGTCTTTTGGACCTCTACCACGTCCTAACAGCCGTGGTTCCACTCTACGTGGCGATGATCCTGGCCTACGGCTCCGTGAAATGGTGGAAAATCTTCAGCCCCGATCAATGCTCCGGCATAAACCGGTTCGTCGCCCTCTTCGCCGTCCCTCTTCTCTCCTTCCACTTCATCTCCACCAACGACCCTTACAACATGAACTTCCGCTTCATCCTCGCCGACAGTCTGCAGAAAATCATCGTACTCGCCGTCCTCTTTCTCTGGTCCAAAACCAGCTCCCGAGGCTCCTTGGAATGGTCCATTACTCTCTTCTCTCTCTCCACCCTCCCCAACACCCTCGTCATGGGCATTCCCCTTCTCAAAGGAATGTACGGTGACTCCTCCGGAACTCTCATGGTCCAAATCGTCGTTCTTCAGTGTATAATCTGGTACACTCTAATGCTCTTCCTGTTTGAGTACAGAGGGGCTAGATTGTTAATCGTCGAGCAGTTTCCCGACACCGCCGGGTCGATCATCTCCTTCCGTGTCGACTCCGACATCATTTCCTTGGACGGCAAGGAACCTCTGCAAACCGAGGCGGAGGTTGGGGAGGACGGCAAGCTCCACGTGACGGTCAGGAAGTCGACGAGTTCTCGGTCGGAAATCTTTTCTAGACGGTCTCACGGCCCGAACTCCGGGCTTTCGCTGACGCCGAGGCCGTCGAATTTAACCAATGCCGAGATATACTCGCTTCAGTCGTCGAGAAATCCGACCCCCCGAGGGTCGAGCTTTAACCACACGGATTTTTACTCCATGGTTAATGGGAAGAATTTGGGAAGTGGGGTCAGTCCGAGGCAGTCGAATTTCGGGGTCTTTGATGAAGAGAGAGGGGGTGTTGGTGGGTATCCTGCGCCGCCGAGTACTGGAATATTCTCTCCGGTGAATGGTCCTGGCGCGAATAATAATGGTAATGGTAACAAGAAGAAGGGAAGTGATGGGAAGGATCTTCACATGTTTGTTTGGAGTTCGAGTGCTTCGCCGGTTTCCGAAGGTGGGATTCATGTTTTCAGAGGCGGTGCCGGTGGAGAGTATGGGAATGAGCTTGCTCATCATCAAAAAGGTTTCAACTTTGAAAATCACTAATCTTTGAGGTTATTTGTCATATGGGTTTTGTTTAGTTTACTTTTTAGTTTTTATCTTCTAACCAAGTGATGTTTTTGACGTGAAAGCACTGATCTTTGACTTTATCAGGTACTATGGGTTATAGTAATTAGTTTTGGTGATTTGTTTATTTGGAAAACACCAATCTTTGAGGCTATTAGTTATGTGGGTTTTGGTTAGTTGTAGTTTTTTCTTCTTTTTTTCTTTTTTTTTTAACGTGAAAACACTATATTTGACTTTATTAGGAATAAATGGGTTTTTGTTAGTTTTAGGTGTTCTTGTTTTGACAACACCAATCTTTAAGATTATTAGTTATGTGGGTTTTGGATAGTTTTGGCTGTTTTCGTCCCAAATGTTCTTTTGGAGTGGTGACTAATAACATATTTTCGCACGATTCTTGTCTTCCTTTGGAACCATCTGTTCAGTGATGTAACCATATTGTTTTTTGTCTGTATTGGTATGTGGTGGGGTCTGTTTTCAACTTCTTTATGTGTTTTTCATTTCTTTTCATTTAGCCCCATTACCTCTTACTCTCAGCATGGGTGGTTTCTTTGTTCTTCTTCTCCCTTTTCTAAACAGAATCCCCTGTTTTCTTCTTTCCATATCTTTTTTTCACCAAAACTTGCTTTTTCTTTGGGTGTTTCTCAGATTACGATGAGTATGGCCGTGACGAGTTCAGCTTCGGAAACAGAGGTGTCTCAAATGGAGTTGACCGTGAAGGTCCTGTGCTTTCCAAGCTTGGTTCTAGCTCCACAGCTGAGCTTCATCCCAAAACTGCTTCACAGGTTGAGACCAAGCCCACTTCAATGCCTCCTGCTAGTGTCATGACAAGGCTCATTCTGATCATGGTTTGGAGAAAACTCATCAGAAATCCCAACACTTACTCTAGTCTCATTGGTCTCACTTGGTCTTTAGTCTCATTCAAGTAAGAAAAACATACTTAAAACTATTTGTTTATCTATTATTATTATTTTTGCCTGAAGGTTTCTAATAAGTTTTGTATTTTAAGGTGGAACATTGCAATGCCTGCTATAATTGCGGAATCCATTGCCATTTTGTCAAATGCAGGCCTTGGAATGGCCATGTTTAGTCTTGGTAATGTTGAGTTAGTGAAATCTGTTTAAAAGATTTCAGTTTGGAAAAGGATCTGTTAATGGTACAATACTAAATGAGGACTATATTTTTGCAGGTTTGTTCATGGCATTACAACCGAGGATTATTGCATGTGGTAACTCAGTTGCTACATTTGCCATGGCGGTCAGGTTCCTCACAGGTCCTGCAGTCATGGCAGCTGCCTCAATTGCCGTGGGACTAAAAGGAGTTCTCTTGCACATTGGTATAGTACAGGTAAAAAAAAAAGGAAATAAAAAAGGAAGTTTTCTTGGAAGAAAAGAAAAAAGCTAGATCAAATCCCCTTGAGTTTGGTTTTGAATAGTTGCCCTTTCACAATCAAAGTTTTTTGCTTTTCTGATATGAGTTGTCAATCTTTTTTATTTCTTCTTTTAAAGCTTTTTTTTATTTATTAAAACTTTCAGGCTGCTCTTCCACAAGGAATTGTCCCCTTCGTCTTTGCCAAGGAATATAATGTTCACCCTGACATTCTGAGCACTGGGTTAGAACACAATATATTCTCATGCTCCTACTTTAGTTTCTGTTCTTGCTGATCTGCATATATCTATATATATATATATATATTTGTAAGTATTATCAAAATGAATAAAAACATGTGGTCCAGACTCCAGAGACAGATATATAGTTCCTCTCTTTTTTCTTTACATGAACAACGATATGTTCATATCCTAGGACATTTTTGTATGCATTTCCATGGGCCCCATTTCCATAAAACTTCCACGTTTTTAAGTGTATTCTTCTGGATTGTGTGTGTTAAGACTAACATGTCAATATATATATATATATTTTTTTTGTAGGGTTATATTTGGGATGCTAATTGCTCTTCCTATCACTCTAGTTTACTATATTTTGCTGGGACTATGAAGCACAAGCTGTCAAAGAGACTCAGTTAGTTAGTACTCTTTTTTTTTTTTCGTTTTACCCTTTTCGTTATTGGGTTTTTGGCTATCTAACAGAAGGAAAAAGCATAGATTTCAAGAAACTTATTAGAGGAGAAGAATAGAGTGGGAGAAAAAGATACAAGACTTCTCTGCAAAACAAGGACAAGGGAAATAGAAAAAGGAACAGTGAATTCTTATTATATCAGTAGTTTTTTTTTTTGGGGGGGTCATTTTGAAGATTTCTATGAAACCTTGTGCCTCTTTCTTTTTGAACTTTTGTTTCATCGATGAAAAAGAAAGTAGTGAGAGCTTTTATTTGATGTTGCAGTCGGAGATGTATCTCTTGTATCTCTGCTTTCCTTAAACTTTTGTAAGGTCAAAAAAGATTTTTAACCCCACTTGGAATCTCTATGCGAAAAGCTTAAAAAGGATCCGAAAAGTGCCTTTTTTTTCTCTAGATGAAAACGTGGGGAACCAAACACTGTTCAATGCATCAAAATTGCTCATTAAGTCTTTTTCATGCTTATAGTACTAATTCAGCCTTTTTTTTTTTGTTGCCAACGGTCACTTATAGTCATCACTCTATTGTGGTACCAGCTGTCACTCATTTTCATCCTTTTTTTCACTTGCGTGCGTGCATTTTCTAAAAATAATTGAGATTAAGACCACAACATTATTTTAATGTGGTGTGTGACTCACATCAACAATAAAATATTTGAGATCGTTTGATTCCTGAGTTAAAAGTGATTTTAATTTATGAGAGAATTTATTGGTGCATATTTTTTTTAAAAATTTTTTATGAGAAAATATTAATAAAATTATGAGTTTTAAAAGTATAATTAAACGCGTCTTTAATAGTTTAAGGTAATTTTATCGATTTGAGAGTTTTTAATTTAAAGTTTTTACAATAAAAATTTTTTAAAAAATGTCACATTTAATAAAAATTTTTAAAAAATATCATATTTTAATTTAAATTTAAAGTGAGCGAGGCTTAAATTTTTTTTATTTCACCAATTTATATTTTATTTAGTAAAAAAATTTTATAAACAATTATATTTAATTTTTTTGTTATAAGATTATATTTTAATTTAAATTAAAAATTTATATTAGTAAATTAAATGAGTATTAAGAGATTGTTTGGTTGCAAATTTAAATTATAATCAAATTATAATTTGAATTATAATTTGTTAAAATATTTTTTCTTATAAAAAATATACATAAATTAAAAATAATTTTAATCACATAATTTTAATTCATAAAGTAAACGTCTCTTAAGTATTTTTTAATTATCATCCAACAGTATGAGAAAACATTGCAAAAGTCGGGACTCCACGGGGGCACATTTTAATTCATAGGTTCCAACTGAACAAAAATTCAATTTTCGTAAAAAATGGAAAAAAAAAGGAATTATATTAAATAGCAGGTTCTGCAATTTGCGCGAGGCTATGCGATATAGCTTAGAGGGACCGTGCCTAGCAGTAATTGATGTCGGTTTTTGATGTGAAGGCTTTTGATACTTTCCATGTGGCGAGGCTCTTTTGGCAGTGGCGGTCATAAAAACTCTGCTTATAATTTGGTCCCTAATTTTAGGGACATGAGGGCCCGAGTTGGGTAAGACTTTTTTTTGCTGCTGCAACAAGCGGTGCCTTTTTTGCAAATTGCAAACGATTTTCTTCATCAAAACCGGACCCCAATTTGTCCAAATGGTGCGGCTAAACTCCTTTACTCAAAAGAAACAAATTAGCAAAAATACATTTTTTGTTTGTGAATATTCTTTGCTAGTGTAAATAACGTATCAAATTAATTGGGTTTTTTTTTTTCGTTGCATTCTTTTACCCTCCTTTTGGTAAGAGAACAAAAAAATAAATAAATAAAAAGAATGGAATAAAAAACACATAAAAGAAAGAAAATGTGAAAAAAAAAGAAGTTAATTTTTTTTATGTTGTTTGGTAATTAATATGATGAGAGAAAATAAAATATGTAATAGGTGATTATTTTTTAATTATTTAATATCAATTAAGCCATGAAATAGGAGTTAAAAAATTATTTTAATCATCAATGGATTGATTTAAATTTTAGAGATAAAAATTGGTTGCCCCCGCATCATTTTTTATCCACCATGTTTTTCTTTCCCTCCCCTCTTTTTTCTTATTAAACAACTCATTTTATTATTTTGTTGATAATAAAATTTCCACTTACGTCCCTTTCTCTTTTCCATCATACTAAGCATAGAGTAAGCTTCTATAAATTTTATGGGAATGTATATGGTAGGGGGCTTTTCTTTTTCCTAGGGTAAAAGTCTAAAGGTTCACATTAAATCTCAATGAGGGTCTATGTATTCTTGTGCACATCTAATTGTAGTATAAAAAAGTGAAAATTATTACTAAAATAACCCTTATTTTTATCAAAAATACAATTTCTCATCCCATATTTTATATTATTAAAGAAAACATCCTTTATTTCACAAATTTCTCCTAATTTGTTTAATTGATTATTACAGATTGCTCTCATAAGAATAATTTTTTTTATAAACTTTGAAAAGTAATTAGAAGATTGTTATACCATTTATAGTTGTTCTAATATTAATATCTCAATAATTTAACTACTAAACATATCAAAATAATCACAAAATTAAAATTATAACTACACTCATATAAAATTTTCTGTTGAGGTCACTCATATAAATTTCCAACAAATACAGATACACAAATCAAACTTTAAAAACCCAGAACTAAGAAAACCCCCTTGATGTTGGTGCTCAGCCACCACCTTGACAGTGTGAGCCCGGTCTGTTAAGAATAGTATCTAAAAGTATGAGATGTGATTTTAACTTTTATTATTTAATTAATTATTAATTTTATTAGAGCTTAGAATTATAAATGAAAATAGTAGAAAATAGGCCAATATGAAAAGCTTAAAAAAATATATAGGCTAATTTTTAGTTATAAAAATTAATAGATCATAACTTATCAAGTTATGATTCATAACCAGATAAGTTATGGACAAACTTGTCAAGTTATGGTTCATAGCCAGACAAGTTATGGACAAAAATCATGAATTATGGACAATAACTTGTCAAGTTATGGTTCATAACCAGACAAGTTATAGACAAAAACAATAATTTAGCCTATTTATTAACTTATGTAAACTATTAGCCTATTTCCTTCTTTCTCCCAATTATAAATTCATGAGTTCACGCGTCATTCTTGTAATATTTGCAAGACAAGATTAATTATTGAGATTTAATACTACTCGAAATAAATAATGTGATTATTTAATTAAATTAATTTTAAAACACAGTGTGGTGGGATCACATGAGGCCACACGCCCAATCACACGTTGGTGCAGGGGGCGTGTGGCACTGGGTGAATCTCACGTGATTCAGTTGCTTGTTCTCCAAGATATAAGGTTTACTTGTTTGACACGTTTTATAATCAAATTCAAAAGGAAAGTAAAGTTTGACTTTACTTAAATTTGAATTTGAGCTAGAAATGGAAACTCGATTAAGGAGGAATTTTTTTTTTCTCTCTTGCCTGTTATTTGCGCAAACCACAGGGAGATCTCCGTGTGGTGTGGCCAGCCATGTAATAATAGGGAAGGGAGAATTTTGTTTCTAAAATTAATTAGAAACTGTATTTTAAATGAGATTTAAAATAACTAATTTTTTACTGCTTTGTCTTCAACTTAAAGCAAATGTATTTTGTTTGTGTTCTATAAATAAGAGGCAATAGAAAATTGAAAAACACAATTTTTTCCTTTCTTCCCCTATGAGATAGGCGTGTAACATAGCTCTTATAGGAGTGTAACATTCTATTTGACAACGTGTAATATTCTAGCAACAACAGTGTAACTAGATAGAAAAAGAGAAGAAAGTTCTTTTGATTCTCAGTTTCATCACATACATGCGTTGATAATGGTGAAATAGGAAATAACGAGTGATCATAATCCGATAATTTCATATTAGAACCCACACTCTACGTCTTGCAGATTTTAAGGGCTAGACGAGAAAGATTCGAGGTTTTTGAGAAAACTTAGAGCTTGGATTGTTTGTGATCAAAGGCCTCAAAATATTTACCTAATCATTCGCTAGGTATCTATTTTTAATATACTCTATAACGTTTTCAAAAGTTTTATGAAAATTTTTATTCGGACCCGATCTGTGTTTCCACACCCAAATTTGATTCGGAAACCAACATAATCGGCAGCTGCTAATACTGACTGCAAGACAGCCTTGCCCAAACACTAAGACCCGTTTGATACATATACTTGAACTCATGATTTTAATTCTGTTATAGTATTTTATTATCTCACAAAGAATTTAATTTAAAACTTTCCTCTCACATACAGTTTCTGCCAATAAATCAGAATCATGAATTTAAATGCGTGAACGAAACGGATCCTAAAAATACAAAAAAAATTCAAACAATTCACAACCTTACTTGAAAATCGTTTTCTTTGTTGGTAATTCTTTAAACAAACACAAATTTCAGTAATACTAAAAAATACAAATACAAAATCTTTTCTGCAACTCTGGAGAAATCTCGCTCATTCTCTCTCAGCGATGAGAGAGAGCAAAGGGAGATCTGAGCTACCGATGACCTGTGGAGAAAAGGCTGTAAACTAATAATTTATGACATATAATTGTAGAATTATAATTATGGAACTTAAAAAGAAGTGTGTTTAAATGTACTTGGCTTTATTTTAGTTTTTATGAGCACCATCATCTTCAATCTCTTGCTTTTTAATCCAATGGTCTACATTTCATGCCCTACTAGTAGGAAAAACAAGGCCCCTACCATAGATATTCTCAAATTTTATATATCTCTTCATGTTGATATGAGCTTATTTGATAGAGTCTATCATATTTCGACCATTACAATGGTGCTTTAAATTTTTATTCACTTGGTTAAGGACTATAAACTTTAGGATGTTAATTAACTTGTGATGAATGTAATAAGAAAGCAAAAGAAGGAAAAAAAAAATCTCATTCTTAAGAAGTATAATTAGAAGCAATTCATTGTTATTTAGTATACATATACTTATTGCTAAAACATTTAATACATCTGCAAAAGTAATATAGTGGTTTATTTTATGTGAAAAAATAATTATATCATGAGATAATTTAGTATTGATTTTTTTTTTCTTATTTTCTATATTCTTCAGGCCCCACTTTGTATTTTCGTAGTAATCTACGTTTCCAACTAAAACATGATAACGAAGGATGTGATTCTCCCATTTGAATTGTTTATTATGCTGTCTGATATTCATTCTGTTTGATAATAGATCGATGGTCTACAGATACGTAACCACTTTTTTTTTTTGCTTCAAATTAAAACTCGTTTATTTTACTAATTTGAGTTTATAATTTAAATTTTATTACAATAAAAATTTTTTATAAACAGTTACATTTAATTTTTTTATTAT